TTATCCCCGTGTCAAACGAACTGTGCGTATCTGACGCATGTCTCATTCTAAATCCATAATACCCCGACGTATTCACTAGCGTGCACAATGTAACACGTGTATACAATGCTCTTATTGTTCTCCAAACTACCTTAAACGTTTCCAGTCCTCAACGCGAACAAGAATTTCGGGAATCCCGCGCCACGAGCAACACGAGCAGCTAGCTCACTTACCCATTAATTCGCCATATGCGCCGTAGAACATGGTACTCGGATTTACAACCGATAAATTCGTCGCGGAATCACTCTGCTCGCGGCGTACACTCGAAACAAGTGTACCGACTACGAGATACGCACCTAATACGATAGCCCATACCATACATCCATAAGGAAGTGCTGAAACGTCGCGACAGTCTTCATAACCGCTGAAACACATAACAACGCCGCGTGCACGAGGCCAGCACTCGCACAGTTGCAAACTGTCCCGATAAAACGCAGTTGTACTTGGACTTTTTATCTGTCCAACCTTCCACACTCGTATAATATATCGTTCATCGAAACGGTAACTTACTCAATTAATTTTATTACGCTCGTTTATTTACAGACCATTAACTTAGAGTCTTAATATCGTCAACTAATTCGTTCACCGTACATAAAAACTATTTAACAAGGTATCTTCGTTTGTTAACCTAAACTTCGTACAAAACATCTGAGACATGTTAAAATTCAACGTTCCAACGTTCAACTTTCAACTCCTACATCTATCGCAGGTCTTTATATTTATTGCAAAAGTCCTCATTACTTATCACTCCTTCTAGTTTCCAATTTCAAAGATTCCCAAGCGAAAGATCAGTGCTCACAGGGTTAAATCGCAGGCAAATAGGATCAGATACTCGGGACGCTTATTCCACAGCGGGCAGCGCGTATTAGTAGCTCAGCACTGCCCTCCTAGAGCAGCGGCGACTCCGCTACTGCTACTGATGGTGCTGTCGCCGCCGCCGCCGCCGCCGCCACCGCCACCGCCGCCGCTGCCGCCACCGCCACCGCCGCTGCCGCCAGTCCGCTTCATTCGCCTTTCACTCGGCTGGCCTTAGTTCGCTGGTGCCTCTCATCAGCTGCGGATCTCTTGATCGCGGCGGTCCGCGGGCTCCGAGATCGCTACCTACGCACATAGCATCCACCGTATCGTTACCCGCGCGTTCAGTCTCTCGGTCCCTTCCCCAGTAAACACGTTGCACGCAGTGAACGATCCCTGAAATCGTCCGTTGATCGGAACCCCAGTGCGAACCCGCGGCCAGTATATCGCGTTTCTCAGTGACTTCGCTCCGGTTGCTCCTTGGATCGTTGAACGACGCGAGAAGAGGATCAACAGAGAAGGGAACGGAGCACGCTCGACGAACCGTCGAGTTCTTCTTCATGGTAAGAACGTCGCCGGTGCCGAGGATTGTCCGTTTCAATCGATTTTCCCGGTGAAACGCGCTGTACCAGCGGTGTCGGTGTTGCTGATCATCCACAGGTGGTGCGGTCGTTCTCCGGTTTCCTTTCGATCCTCCGTGATTAGGTGAACGGTTTTTGTCCCTGTGTGCATGCGGCGTGCGTGTACCTAGGCACATGTGTGTCTGTGTGTGCGTTTCTGGGTGTATGTGTGGGGTCCTGGAGTGAAAGTTCTTCTTCCTCCCCGTTGGTCAGTTGGGTGATCATCGTTGAGGTGGATCCACGTTTTAGTGATCGACGCACAAGGATTTGCGACTCGCGATCGACTTTTGGGGGGATGATCGGACACCTATGTACCATGGTTAACGATCGCCCCGGAAACTTGGCGAAGTGCTGTACGTACGCGCTGTGACGCAACCAGCTGTAATCGACTCCGGCGAGGCTAGTTAGCTAACAGAGTTACAGGTGTTATCGTTCTCAAGTGCACGGTGATAACGGATCGAGGAATAGAGAGGATCAATACGTATAAGGTTTCCACGGTGGTGTGCTAGTGAGAGACGGAGAACGGTGAACCATTCGGAATTTCGCCTCGTGCAACGACCGGTTTGATTGGTAGTGAGTCGACGCACGGCTCCTATCGATAACTTTAATGACGTCTGTCGGCTCGTAATCGACCGCGCCGCGCGCTATCGACTTACGGACCGATAATTGAGCATTATCACGTTCGCGCGCGTCAACGGATCAACTCTGAGCCCCGGCCTCCCGTGGACGATTCGAACTCGTTCGGTTGGTAGTCGTTTCTCGTTGAACTATGGATACTCGCGTGAACTCGTGTGAATTCTACGGAAATTGATTTTGTTTCAAATATTAGTGGAATTGTATTGAAATGTTGTGTTAAACGTTATCGGCTGATTGCGGGAGTTTACGCAGATATTGCGATATTTATGAAGAAGTTTGACTATCGTGGTTTGTTTATATATTAGCTATATGGATATTTTTCTTATTAAATTGTGTTGACGGTAATACCGCGGTATAAGTAAATTACAGGTTCAAATATGTTGAAATGTACATTGAAATATGTGCGATGTGGTTATATGAAATTCATTTATAAAGTTCTATGAAACGAGTTTGTCACGAGTTGAATATGCATTTTCGGAAAATTGACCTGAAATAGTGCGGTAAGAGGTTGAAGGGATTAATATTAAATGAAGTGTAACTCGTGCTACGAATAGTTCCGATGAATTATCGGTGAAATGGAGTTCTATTAAATTGCAGTCAATTTTATATTGTATCAATTTTTGGAAAATTTTATGCGCCACGAATGCATAAAGTTTCGCAATCCGATTATTAGGTACCGAGCCGAGAGTGTTCGTACAAATATGGATTTTTATAGAGCAATTTATACAAGCCGGAATGAAATAGAAATTTATTTTGTCATATTCTCAGTAGTATAGAAATTTCCATAGAAATGGCGAATTTTATTAAATTTATTACACCGAGTGGCACGCGCTGGCCAGTTATTTCGACGAAATAAAAATCGGAGTAAGAATTAATAGAGTTTTCAGTTACTTTTTCAATCTAGCAAAAGCCTTCGCGGAGAAAACAGAATTTTCATGTAGGTTCTAGACCAGTCTTCATTAAATTGTCGGTTTTATGCGTTTCGAACGTTCATTGTCGGGAAAGAATACTCGCTCGGTGCTAATAGGCGAGTCTCGCTATAATGTCAAGTTGGGAATTATTATAATAGGCTATTTCATATTAACACACCTTTCAGATAAAATATAGTATGATAAAAATCATTTTTAACGACGAGGTCTCGATACATGTTACTGTCAATTGATAGTAATGGTCTTCTCCTTTTTTTTCCCTATCGCGATGTAGGGAGTGCATAGTGAGAAGAAATCTTGTGCATTCATGAAATTTTCATTTTGCTTCGCATAAGAAAGTGAATGTTAAATTGGTTGAATAGTAATAAAATTTTAATCGTTCTAGCACTTATAAAGAAGCAAATCCTTTTAAATGTCCACTAAATAAACCCGTAAAATCTTTATACAAGGGGGAAGAAATAAAATTGGGATAATTGTCGTTTTCGCTTTAACGATTATAAAACTTCGTCGGCAAACGACAGTTTCTATTGAAAATAATTTTCTTAGCGTAGGCGAATGCATTACACAGTAATCTAAAACTCCCAACGGAACTTTCTTCAATTATTTATTTCACGTTAACCAAACCTTTCTCGTATAAGGGAAACGTTACTTTCGAATCTTCTAGAATTTGAAAAATTTTAATTTAATAAACTTTATTTGAAGTTAGTTGTACGCACGAAATTATTTTGAAGAATAATTCAAGGTTCATCCACGTGTGAAAGTTTTTGGTTCACTCGTTAACCGTTCGCTAAAACTATTTCAACGTGATATTCAAACTCTATTGCGGATATTAGAACAATCCCGGTATTGCCTCGCGAAGGTTAAAGCGACTTCATTTCCTCGATGATTCGAGCAATCGCGACGTTCCATGGGAATCCATGAAATAACCAGAGAGAACTGGGGATAGGTCTAGAGAAGCGAACGTGCATACTACCCGGACGTAACCTCGTGGCATTTCGAAATGTGCACGCGTACAATTCGCACACCTCGACATATATACACTGCGAATCGAACGGCCGAAGCACTTTTCATGCGATTTAGAAAAAAAAGTGTTTTCGCGCTTCCATTGCTGTCGCATTGAAATTATTACGCTTTAAACGGACACTTTTTAAATCGAGATTTTACAAATCGTTAGAGACGATGTTTTTGAATAAATTTGTCTCTGGGATTAAAAGATTTAATCTTGTCATAATCAGGAAAACATCTGCTTCATGATTTGAATTATTTCTGTCTGCGATATATAAACAGCTGATCTGATATATTCGAAGCAGTAAACGAATTAAAGTTATTTAAATGAAAAATATTTATTCAGTTAAAACGGTGCATTAAATATTGACAGTGTAAATAAAATTCAAAGACACGTGCTGCGGAATATTTAAGTGTAAGTTCGTGATGACACTTCAGTTGAAAAGAAACACTTTGGTTCAACGAATTGTGTTTTCGATGCTTATCCGTCCTATTCGGTTTTATTCTACTGTAAAGGGTCAATAATAATTCAACACGTTTGTACCGTTTACACTCCGAAAATAATAGTACAAGTGAAATTTATAGTAGCCTTATAGAGATGTTCTCTAGAAATCTAGAAATTTTGAGAAATTAAAATACTTATTAAACTTCATTGAAATATTGGCACAAATCAAACTTTAATTACAATTCCAAATAAACTGTCAGGCATTACCTTTCCGCTGCAATTATTTAAAGATATATCGATTACATAATCGTAAATATATACTTATACGACTATTTTAGTAAAAATATTTTTCTAAAAATACTTCACTCGATTTAACGGCAGCTTTTCAGCAAATACATGAAACGTCTCGGTCCCATTAGATAGATACCGAATCCTAGCATTAAGGAGGGTAGTGCAACGCACTCTCTACCCGATACGTCGAAGCTGGCAGCGGCACGGTTAATAACATATCCTGTTTCCATTCCGTTCCAGTGTGGCTCCCTGGAGATCGGCGAGGAACGCCAGCGTCGGGTCGCAATGATGGAGTCCCTCTGCCAGGTGAACGGCACCAAGACGAATGCCGTCAACGGAGGCAACGAGATCAATAACACCAATGGAAACAACAATCCGGAGTGCCCCGACCCCCAGCAGAGGTTGGCGGTGCTCAGTTTCGAGCAGGTCCGCCGATTGAACGACGTGATGAACGAGGTCGTCTCGATCCACGGCAGAGGAAACTTCCCAACCCTGGAGGTCCGACTGAGGGACCTAGTGACGGTGGTGCGAAGCAAACTGGAGACTGACACCAGCAACGGCGGGGCCGGCATGAGGGTACGGGACATCCGGCTAAACGGCGGTGCCGCGTCCCACGTTTTAGCGACCGAGTCGCAACCGTACAACGACCTGGACCTGATATTCGCGGTGGAGTTGTCGAGCGGGCGAAATTACGACAAGGTGAAGGCCGCGGTGCTCGGCTCTTTATTCGACCTGCTGCCAGAAGGCGTGAGCCGCAAGCGTATCACCACGTGCAGCTTGAAGGAGGCGTACGTGAGTAAAATGGTGAAAGTGAACAACGACGGTGACCGGTGGTCCCTGATCTCCCTCGGCAACTCGCGGGGTCACAGGAACGTCGAGCTTAAATTCGTCGACTCGATGAGGCGGCAGTTCGAATTCTCCGTTGACTCGTTCCAGATCGTCCTCGATTCGCTCCTCCTCTTCTACGAGTGCAGCAAACTGCCGATCGGCGAGAACTTTTACCCGACGGTAGTTGGCGAGTCCGTATACGGCGACTTCCAGGAAGCGCTCTATCATCTCCACAAGAAGCTGATCTCGACGAGGCATCCAGAAGAGATCCGCGGCGGCGGACTGCTCAAGTACTGCAACCTCCTCGTCAAGATGTACAAACCTTCCCAGCCCGACTATATCAAGACCCTCGAGCGATACATGTGCTCGAGATTCTTCATCGATTTCCCGGACATCACCCAGCAGCGTGCCAAGCTCGAGAATTACCTGTGGAACCACTTCGTGGGGCCCGAGGAAGAGGCCCTGAAGTACCAATACCTGACGCTGTTATACAACGTCGTGGAGGAATCCACTGTGTGCCTGATGGGCCACGAAAGACGACAGACCCTGTCACTAATCGAGAGCCTTGCCTATCAGGTGCTGTGCCAAGAGCAACAGCAACGGCTGACGAATCATCAGCAGCCACCGCCCGGTCCGCCTGCCACCTACGTTTACGCGAACGGTTACTATTACGCTCCCGTCATACCTACCGCGTGCTACACGTGCACTTGCAACTCGTGGATGGCGTGCTCGTCGTGATGCGATACAGACGCCAACGCCATCGTCGCCACTAGCACCGCCATCACCGCCACCGCTACGAC